TAATTCTTTCCTGATAGCGTTGGCTATTGTGCCCATCAATAGGTATGTTGGTAAGTACGAATTACATTATCCCTAGATGTCCAATGTACGTGTGTGATATTATTATTATTTTTTTTTTTTTTTTTTTTTTTTAAGGACCCTACATAACTTCACCAGACACAGACACAGACACTAATCGTTACTTGATTTTAATCCGTGCGATTAGTTAACCAGGCTAGACCTGAGTTCTCACAAGAAACACCGACCATAATAATAACAACAACACAGATACAACCTCAAGAACAAAGAAACACCATAAATACAAGTAACGCAACATGCACTACAAAGACAGGTCCACCAATAAAAGTTACACGCCCTAGCACGTTAAAAACACATTATTATTATTATTATTATTATTATTATAATGACCAACAAGTGATTTTCTCAGCTCCTCATACCTACGACTTTTGTGCTGGGTAGCTCTGGTGCCAACAAATCTTTTAACACATTGTAGGCCTCGCCCCCAATTAGGGTTAAAAGTAACGGGACTTTTTTATCCGCCTCTACAATATTACAAATAAATAGTTGCTCTAATCTTTCTAAATATGACGAAATATCAGTTTCTTTAGGATTAAACTGTTCGATGGATCCGATTAACGACATGGCTGACTTGCTCGGTATCTGGTGATTTTTCCGCTGTTGTCATGCTTGAGTCGAAAAACCCATCTCGCGTTTATACATTGTTGGTCTTCGGGCAATTTCGTAACTTTCCATACGTTGTTTTTACGTAGGGCACTCAACTCGTCTTTGATCGCTTCCTCCCATTCAATCTTCTCACGACTACTCATTGCCTCTTCATAAGTTTCTGGAATGTGAACTTCCGAAAAGGTAACCTCGTACTTATTTGGAGCTTTTACATTTCTACGAGATCGTAAATCGTAAGGACCAGTTGGATCATCTTCTTCATCCTCTATAATAATACTGGAGTCAGGGTCACTCTCTTGAACAACATCTCCACTTGTTGTCGTAGGTCATCCCCATCTTCCTTCCCTGTCGTTTCTTCTTCGTTGAATATCACATTTCGGGATATTGTGATTCGTGATGTAACGGGATCGAATAATCTGTAATTTGTAGAGTTATTATCGTACCCAACAAACGTATACTTTTTGCTTTTCGGATCCAGATTCTTGCGATGTACATTTGGAGTTAATACGTAAGCTGTGCTTCCGAAAACTTTAATACCGTAAATGGGTGCGTTGAATGAAATCCATTTTTGATCTTTCGTAGTTTATAACTTGGAAGGGAAGACGTTATTAAAAACCATATGTGTAGGAAAAGTCCGGTCCCTTTCTTCACAAAAGATGCCGAATTTTACATTTTTGAAATTGCAAATGAATATGGAGTTATCATTTTTTTTTTTATTTATTTCTATTCGTCATTTTAGTGGGGTGAATAGAAACACTATTGAAAAAATCAGATGTATTGCTATCCAAACACAGTACAGGTGAATAGAAATATTAAAAACCGAAATAATATATACAGGGTAAGTAAATTTTTCAGTTTCAAAAAAAAAATGCAAAAGCTTTATGTAAATTATGTATTTATTAACAAAAACTAAACATTAAACATTCTTTAAAGTACCTAAATATAAAAACATATGAGTTTAATGGATATTAATATCAAAAATAATATTCTCCCTTCGTTTGAAACCAGTTTCTTGAAGCGGATACACCTGCCCAATAATTTGGTCGTGACTGAACGTACACACATCTGGGTTAGAAGGAAAAAAAAAGATTTCTCTGTCAGTTTTACTTGAGGTTTTTGATCTCAAAAAGGTAGCCTCAATTGCACCTTCCTCACAAGACAGCACTTTTCCTACGTAATATTTATATTTTTGGCTTTTTGAACCTTCAATTGCAAAGCTTACAAGAAGCCACATTTCAGGCACAATATTTTCCACGTCGATGTGAAAGACGTTGTCAAATGTTTTTCCATTCTTCTTTAACTGAGAATTTTTCTCACCCGTACTGTTCTTGTTAGGAACCGTGTGGGTATCAATTTGCAGATCCTCATATTCCTCATCGAAGACAGTTTCATTGTCACTACCTTCATCGTTGTCTTCTATTGACATGTTTGAACTGTCGTTTTCACTGGACTCACAATCTGCACCAGAGACACTTTTACCTGCTTCTATTTGAATTTTCTTCTTCTTGTTTCGACACGCGGATGCTCCGTCGCCATACCTTAACGACTTTAGGTATGAGACAACTGTATCATTAACATGTTCGTCACATCTTCCTCTTCAACATCCTCGGGAAGTCGGCTCAATACCTCTTGCCTATTTATAGGACACACACCACATTTCCTGAATCCTGACTTTATTGGCCCGGTTTCTCCAACAAAATATAAGCTGTACCTTAGGCAAGGCGGTCTTAATTGTAAGGCGTCCTTAAAATTAAATTACGTTGCACCAAAATTTTAAGTTCGCATCTTAGCTAAGCATCAGAATTTGTCTGAAACGATCTGGCAACACAGAATTTTATCAAATGAATGCCAATTTTACTAATGAATCGCGTTACCGAAGGTAGGTACCTAATAATTGCAAACTGTCAAACTTGATAGTTACTCCACAGAATAAGGCCTTATTCTGTGAGTTACTCGTCATTGCCCCACCGAACCGTGCACCGAACTTGTTAGACATCGGCCAACATGCATTCTAATAAAAAAAGAGTGAATTACACTCAAGAAGAAAAAAAACTATTAATTCATTTGGTTGATTCAAATAAAAATATCATCGAAAATAAAGATACAAACGCCGTTTCAAACCATCAAAAAGATGACGTTTGGAAAATTATTGAGCAAAATTTTAATAAAAAGTGTTTCAACGTCTTTCGTGACGCCAATTCTTTACGGAAGCAGTGGAGCAATATGAAGCAGGACTCAAGAAAAAAGGCGGCACTAGAAAGGCAGGAGCTTTACAAAACTGGTGGAGGAGTTGCTCCTGCACTTTCTTCGAAAAATTGTGAAGCAAATGAACAATTGGTTTTGGATATAATAAATAAGAAGACAGTCCTTGGTCTAAGAAATGAATTTGATTCTGATGTAATGAAAGGTAAAATTTACACTCGAATTTCCATTAATTATATTTTTAGTGAGGCACACATAGATACAAGTATTTTTATATTTTGTAGAACCTATATTAGATCATCCAGCAGAGGATATTCTTGGAATGCCGATTTTGATATCTTCCAAGCCCAATCAAGAAGAAATTAACATAGAAATACCGTGTACATCCAGTACACCTTCGATTACACCTTTAGAACAAACACATGATGAAACTGAACTGTGCAATCAAAACGTTCTGCTTACTTACGAAGAGCCCACGCCCACACTTTTACGAGGCACTCGTTGGTCTGCTCGAAGGAGACCTAAAATTAACGCAGACCTGGGACCTACAGAAAGAGCTAAAATTGAAGTACTACAAATTCAAAAAGAAATTCTTTTGCAAGAAAAGGAGCACAAGAAAATGTTACATGCCATGGAAGTTGAGCACAAGAAAAAAATTTACTTAATGGAAGAGGAAATTGGGAAGTGCTCTTGTTCCAAGTAAATGTTGCCATAAAATAAATCTAGTATTTTTTCGAAGAATGAATTCATTTAAATAAGTACATATAAGTACGTATTTTCAATTTTAATAAAAAATGTTTATTGTAGTAGGTATGTTAATATGTAATATAATTTATCTTTAAACTTGCAAAATACGAAAATTACAATCTAGAAAAATATATATCTACTAAATGTCTTCTATAATCATAGCCTAAATCATTTTCTTCGGCGGCTAAAGGAATATCTCCATCTCGAATTGCTTGCTGAAGCTCGTGTTCCATAATTAAATTTTCAATAGGTGGTTCTGGTTCTCCCCTCAAACGAGCCAAATTGTGCAAAACTGCTGTAGCCACAATAACACAAAGTACATTTTCTAGCTTCATTCTACATCCATACGCTATTATAGGAAATCTTCTTTTCCAAACACCAAATAGATTTTCTACCTTGACTCTACTTTGAACGTGACTTCTGTTGTAGTTTCTTTCACCATCGTTCTGAACATTCAGAAAAGGTGTAAATAGATATGAAAGATTCATATAACCGCTATCTCCTAAAAAGTAAGTAGCGATTGTAAATTAATATTGAAAAAAGTGCTATTTACCCAACAAGATACTATTTCCAAAGTCTCCATTATTGAATCTATGCATTAATCGTGAATTTCTAAAAATGGTGGTATCGTGCGTCGAACCTGGCCAACGTGCGACGATATCTTGGAATAACAGGTCAGCACTTGTAACGGCTTGCACATTTACAGAGAAATATCCCTTTCTGTTTCGATATATTTCAGCATCAGCTCCACCTTTAAATTAAATTCTTATTTGTAGAAATGAGCGAATGTAAAGTATAATACTAAAAATAATGTGAAAAAAATAGTGTAGTAAGTACCTTGTGATTGAATTTTTATATGACATCCATCTATTGCCCCAATGACTCTAGGAAACCAGCAATGTCGTAAAATTTATTCTGAGCACTTGCAATTTCAACTTCATTTCGAGGCATGTATATAAATTCCCTTGCAATTGATGCTATGAGCCTTGAAACTTTTGAAACAATTTTACATACTGTTGACTTGTCTGCATGCACAAAGTCTCCAACAGCAACAAAATGCCCTGCACTGGCATAAGCTCTTAACGTTAGCAAAAGTTGATTCATGGGACTGATGGAATTATTCCTGAATTTCAAAAAACATTATTGTACACCTTGAATTCGCACTATACAATAGTCACAAAAAGCATTATATGTAGGTAAGTATACAAACGTGAAACAAACCTATGAATGATGTGTACTTACCTGTTATGGAAGTACTCTAGTCTATGTTCTATTTTCTCCAATAAATATAAAGCAGTCCCTTTTTCGAGTCGAAATCGTCGAAAAAATTCAACATTAGAATAAATATTAAATAAATTTCTCCTAATGTGAATTTGCCGTGGTATTCGAATATTTTCTACTATGTCTACCATATCAACCACATCGACATCATCGACATCGATCAATTCCATTTTGAAAAGTGACGTTTGAAAGACAAAATGCCACTCATTTTCAACTTCACTAACAATAATGCCGACTTAAGTCGCAGATTTTCACGACTTAAATGTAAGGCTGCCTTTGTGAATATAAGATGCAGATTTGCGTTGGTGCAACGTTTTAAGATAGACTTAAGATTTAAGGCGATCTTAAGATTCAAGTAGAGCTTAAGATACATTGGAGAAACTGGGCATTTAGTTAACTTGAACTTTACAGTTGACATATACCAGTTTTACCAACCTTCAATCAAGAATGATCGATTAAATTGAGTACTTGATGTTAACACAAAGAAATTGATCGGAACAGAAATGCGCACGTATAGGCCAAGTACAACAAAACATAAAAAGGCAACGCTTACATTGATTTAATAAGATGTCATCCAGAGAAGTGAGCTCGGATCCATAAAATCGGCAACAAAAGAAAACTCCCAAGCCGCAAACCTCGGAATGCAATGAACTGAACAATGCCTGAATGGTCTCTCCTTACTTGTAGTAAGCTCACAAGTACGATACTTTTTCCACCAACCTCTTCAGAAGGAAGTGGCGGCCTACCATATCAATCTCGTGCAAAAGTCGACCATAACTTACCGAAGTAACAAATTAACAACTGAAAGTGATATCTTATCGGGTGTGGAAAAATGTGTCCACAAGTGTTGGCACTCGCAGGTAGATGATAAAGGTTACGCCAATTTCGTATGTAGAAACTAAAACTAAAAACCCTAGAAAAAATCAAAGGTAACCCTCTTCGTTGATAACCTTAAAATATACAGGGTGAGTCAACCATTGCGCGGAGTAACTTAATGCCTTGAAGATAAGAGTGCTTTTGTATTATGATATGGTTGAATATTCTCCACATTTTAAAAATATTTGGAATTATACAGGGTACGCCCACAAAGTAGGGCGCCCAAATGGTACGTTTTTTTAAAATAGAACCCCCTGTATTTGAATGCATTTTTGAATTCTACATGTAATTGTACGTCTTTTTTATTATATGGTTAATATCCGAAAAGCTAGTAGTTTTAAAGATAATTCGATTTTTAAGAAAAATTGGGCATTTGCAAGCGTCAGTATATTGTCAAAATTATTACTTAAATTTTGATTCCAGGTTTTATATCTTTTATCCTGGGTTAAGTAAAAGTCAAATAAATACATCTACTATGAAACATTAAAAAAATAGCTTACAGGGTGTTTTTTGTAGATCCAAAGTTACAAAACTTCATATTAAAAAATCTCACTTTTTTAAATGGAACACCCTGTATATTTTTCTGTCATCTTTTAGCTCCTCCAAAAACCTTCAACTTTTGATAATAATGTCCTATACCTATCTCTGATAGTTTTCGAAATATCTTGGTTCTCCTGGTTTTTATATTCTAATCGTAAATAAGTTATATGTAATTCACATAATAGTGAGGTGGCCATGCAAAAAAGGCAATTTTTATCTACCTCGTTCAAAGCTAAAATGATATTTTATATTATTATTCATTTTTCTAATAATTCATTTAAAAACTGGAGAATAAATTTGATAGTAAAAACATAAACAAATATCTTGGTTTTTCTACTTTTTATATTTTAATCTGAAATTCTAATTTACATAATAACTAGGTGAATATGAAAAAAAATGAAACTAATGTCACTGACTGGATGACATTAGGAGTTAAATTAAATTTGCTTTGTAGTCAAATGTTTTTACTTATTCTCTAGTTTTTTGGACTTAAAATAAATTGTTTGAAAAATAAATTAATCGATATGATTTTCGTTTTGGACGAGATAGATAAAAATTGACTTTTTTTTGCATGTCCACCTCACTATTATGTTTGCAACTTTGGACCTACCAAAAAAAACACCCTGTAAGCTATATTTTTAATTTATAATATTGTATGTATTAATATTGTGGAGAATATTCTACCATATCATCATACAAAAGCACTCTATCGAAAAATCTTATCTTCAAGGCATTAAGTTACTCCGCGCAATCGTTGACTCACCCTGTACATACCTCTTTAAATAAGAGGGCGAATTATAGATGAACAATCGCCGATAGAAAATCGTATTAAATATCAGCCGAAACCTAAAGAATATATTCGTCAAGCAGATTAAATGCAAATAGTACTTTAATGAAGAAGAATAACGCAACTATATCCTCCTAGTGGAGTGAAGGGGAATGTAATCCCTAAATATTCATACATGTGGGTCGCAGCAATTAAAATCCCATGCGTTATGCTGTCATCAACTATCACTCTGTCACAGCTGACGAACAAACGAAGAAAATGAATGTTACCACCGATAACGACAAATCGCAGCGCCGAAATTTCGCGCTAGAAATTCCGTCTCTAAAATTCCAAGGTTACAGTTGTTACGAGGATCATTCAACAATATACTGTTAACAATAAAAATGCTTCTAGTGAAGGAAATAAATCGTTGCATGTTCTTCCATTAATAAATATGTTAATTACTGGCCTAATTCGTTTTTAGTTGTAACACTTCGCCAGAAGTTTTCCCTACAACGAAGGGCGAGCCACAAAGTTCAACTGTATCACCGCAAAAGCGATCCAGTTATCAAATTTTCTTGGACGGAGCCTTTTTGGACCTTTTGTGACCTAAAGAAAAACACCGGGTCTAGCGATATCTGTAAGTCACTTTAATTATTTTTGAATGGTATAAAGTATTGATCGGTTATCTTTAAGAATTCGAAGCGAACGTTTTTTAACGTAATCATAATATCCTTAAATGAACCGGTCGGTGGAAATTAACTGCAAGTAACAGATTTGTATTGCATTGAATTGTTACAAGTGGATCCTTACAAAAGAAATTGATTTTTTAATTAGTTGGGAATTTGTCTTTCATTTAAATGATAGTACTCCTTTGCATGAATTCAAATGTTGTTTAGGCAGAAGATGTATGCAAACATTTTGCGTAAAAAATTGCCAGGAGAGTTTATTGTGCATAAAAAATTTAGATATGGAGAAGTAGAACCAAACGTGGCCACGAGATAGGAGTTGAATTTTGAATACGAAAATATGAGAATGGAATTGGATCCACTTTAGTTCGGCTGTAGTCAATCGAGAGCGTCAAGTTTGGAGTTTCAGAATTACAAAAGAAGGCCAAAATTCCGTAAGGTAAGGGATATTTAAATTTTATTACAGAGCTAGCCATGGGTAAAATGAATTGCGACAGACAAATTTTTACCAGTGTCGTACAGGATGAATTTTATTTATTAGACTTCATGTCATACCCAAGGTAAGACTACATTTAGATACTGAAGCGCATTTTTCCATATGTATAATCCGAGGTATAATCTTACCGTCTCTTCAACGCGAACGGTATGTTAATAAATGTTACTACAAAAATACACAATGGTAGCAATTAAATGATAAGTGCACACATAAGCCGACGTAAATCGAACTAATCTGCGATTTACAGCGGGAATAATCCATTACTCAAATTTATTTGAATCAAATTGATTAGTGCAAACATAATTGCAATTAACGTTGTCTTCCGCCGTCAATTCAAATTGTAATTAATTTTCTTTGCTTCTACAAACACGTGAGTTGTTAGAGGTAGAAGGTTCGCAGTACCTAGGTACTCCCCTTAGCAGGCAATAATTTAAATTGTGATCATCCATATTCATACTAAGTAATAAAGCTTCATTTTTGCGGTGGTGTTGTGCATCGTGTTGTAATTTTGTACCTACAGCTTATTTGCTTTAGCTTGACCAGATCTATTACACATAATTGCTAACATCAGTGTAGTTCATCTAAAAGTCGTTATTATAGCGTTTCTTAAAGACATAATGAGAGTATTATTATAATTTTCTAATTAACGTAATGTACTTAAAAGACGTGACATAGTTAAATTACTGGTTATCAGTATCAGATGCTGGTTACTACAGTTATCTGAAATCTAACATATTATGTAAAATTACGGTGGTTGGTAATTCCTCCATTAACGTGCGCCCATTAAATTCTGCGTCCCTTTACAGTTTCACACGGCCCGTAGATCTTTTTCTTTCCTGCAGTAAGTAACGGCACAAAAAGCTTCTAACAACTTCAAAAACTTTTCAACGCGTTTGTCCCAACTTTCCACTAAAAGAAGTTTCTGAGGTAACAATGCAAAACCTATACATATCCCATGAATGCTAATAGTCTGCGCGCTTTACATTTTTACTAATTGACCACTCCGATGCCACTACAATGGAAGAGTGAGCGCGCGCTCTTTTTTTTATTAGAAATTATTTTCTTTTCCTGATATCATCGGAAAATACTTAGTTAAAATATTACTCCCCGCGGGGTCTTTTACTAGCTAGCTTGTTAACGCGTTTAGAGTCCGTCAGCGCATGTACGCCGATTGAATATCTTAAGAAGCAAACTGTGTTTTTTCCTCAACACATTGTTCTCGAAATTCAATATCATATTT